GACTCTGTTTGGAGACCTGTTTGACTGGAGAGTGAAGTAAGGCTGAGAGAAGAGATGAGACTAGGGAATGGGTCAGAACCCTGATGGCCAACAGCAAGTGTCTGACCTTACTGTGCTCAGGAACCTTTCATTAACTGCATTTTGAAGTCGATCCCTTCCTGAGCCTTTTAGGCATTCATTACTAACCTACCAATAGAACTTTATTCCATAAAGTTTAGGAAATATTTAGATATTCTTTTGATCCTAGATGCCAGAGAGAGAAGAGAGTAGGAAATTTTATAACTGCTAGGGGGTTCAAGCTCCTAAGAGGAGTAGATATGGGGCTAGGTGGTCTTACTGGAAACATAGGTCCACAGAGCCACAGATGATGCCAGGTCTGATTAACACCCAGGAAATTAATTCCTTACTCATTTGTTACACTCATCGGGGGACATGTGATAAGAAGAGGTGGTTATGTGCAGGTGATAAAGGTCGGTAGTTCATTCTCAACAAACTCATGAAATTGTAACCATGTGGTTGGTATTTTCTGAGACAAGAGTCCCAGTTTGCTGTCCTGGACCTCACTACGCAGACCATGCTGGCCTCAGACTCTCAGAGATCTGCCTGCCTCTGGTTCCTGAGCGATGGAATTCAATAGGTGCTCCACCACACACAGCTTAATCAGGGCTTTAGCCTAAGTGTGAACTTGCTCCTCTTTTTGACACTTGAATGTACACTGTGCATTCTACACTGTGCATTCTAGTGATGTCACTCTACAATGCTCTTAACTCTTTTGAATTATTTGTGAAATTCAGAGAATGGGCAGGGTTGGCTACCAGTCTGGTGCCCTAGTCTCTTCAGTAATACATTCAACTTAGATGTGGTATTGAATAAAGATGGTGGATAGGCTTGAAAAGAAATACTTTTTTCCAGCTAGGTGGTGGTGGCACATACCTTAAATCAGCACTTGAGAGGAAGAGCTAGTCAGATCTCTGTCAGTTCGAGGCCAGCCTGATCTGCAGAGTGAGTTCCAGGACAGCCATGGGTACACAGAGAAATCCTGTCTCAAAAACACAAAACAAAATGATAGAAATATTTGTATTCTCCACATAATAATGTTCATTATAAAATATTGAATGGAGAACATTTGACATGAATTTAACTACTAGAGTAATCATAATTCTTCTCATTGTTATTAAAACCATAAATAAAATCACAGGCTATCATGTACTCTAATCAGAGCCCAACTGCAATGGATGGAGTCAAGTGTCAGAGATGAACCTCCACATTTCAGTCATGTACTTAATGATTTCCTTTACACTAGACAGTTGATAATACTATGCACAGACATTGCCCCTGTTCAGAGATGTACTAACTTCTTAACCATTAAGGTTACAGACAGTGGATTAAGCCCATCTTCATTTGGACTTCATTCAAAGGTAAATTTGAGTCTATGTGTTCTGGGACA